CACGAGGAACTTATGGTAGGGTTCGGACAAGATTACCGTCAGAAGATGAAGAATCGGATTCCTGCTCTGCTGTCGCATCTGACAACACAGTATCCAGCGAGGGGCAACCCCGCGAGTCATTCATGATAAGCGCGGAGCAAGTGGCTAAGATGCTTGAAGAAGCCATGAATAAACAACAAGAGACCTTCAGGTTTGAAATGCAGATGGCCATGCAGAATATGAGAGAAATGCATGAGCAACAAATTCAAGCACTGACGAACCAGCAAGGCGAGCCAAGTCGTCGTAACCAGGTTCATCAAGAAGAGGAGGATACGAATGCGGATGAAGCTCACAATGCCAATAATCCTCCCGTCAATGCAGGGGGTGGTAATGAGGATGCTAGTCGTAATGCCACACTTCCGCCACAGAATCGTGCTAACGAAAACACAGGCGAAAGTCTGAAGATCAAAAACCTCGAGAACAAGATCAATACGCTGATTTCTGCTCAAGAGGTGAAGAAAACAGGCATTCCTTGTCCATACCCAAGAGAATGGGAATCAATCCCATATCCAGCAAAGTTCAACTTAATCAACTTCACGCCATTTGATAGGAAGGGTTCACACACTCAGCATGTGATTTATTTCAAATCACACCTGGGGGTAATCTCCGGCAATGAGCCTCTGATGGTGCGGTCATTCGTCGGCACTCTTCGCGGAGCCGCCTTCGATTGGTATCGCCGCCTCAATCCAGGTAGCGTGAACAGCTGGGACGATATGGAGACCATGTTCCTCACCAATTTCTTCGACGATGACACCGAGATATCTATCGGATCATTGCTCGAGGAGAAGCAGAAGGACGGGGAGTTAGTCGACACCTTCGTCAAAAGGTTCCGGAACAAGACGATGAATTGCCGGGACCCGATCACCGAGGAATTCATTCTCCAGACTTGTCATAATAATCTGTCCTTGGACGTGTTGGAAGCAATGGGGACAGCACCATCCATAACGTGGAAGGATCTGAAGGTCCGAGGGGAGCAGGCTGAGCGATTCCTTAGGAGAAAGAAGGCGGAGAGAGGCCAACAGGCGACAAATGCTCCAGCACAGAATTTCAACTCGAGGGGGAAAGGTAAGGCACATGCTAATGCAGTTGATGCTAATCAAACCTTTCAATTGCAACCTCAGCAACAGCAGCAGCAAAGAGCGCCACAACAATCGCAGTC